ATCGCGCTGAAGAAAGAGGAAATCTTACCGACCGTGTGACAAATGCACCTTCAGAAACTAGATTCTACCTTTGTGTTTTTATATAATCGCTACACTTTAAACTTTTGTTAGCTATGTGGTGGCTAAGTTGGTGAGTGTTTGTAAACTTAGAAATAGTTTTGAATATGAAGCAATTAGGAATATCTCTAGCTATCTTATTTATCCCAGTTGATTGTTATGACATTCAGTGGGTTATATTTAATTTTTTGTGTGTGGGTGCATCACCCTTCTGTGCTTTACTTGACATTTTCTTTCAAATTCATTATTTTCAAATTTAAATGTTCTATTACAATTTCTAAGAATATTTATTGGCTGAAGGCAGGTATGTGATAAGTGGAAGCTTTGCAATGAGTCAGAAAAACTTACCTAAGAGCGTTGTTCTGTTTTGTTTCTTACTGAGGTTTTGTTTAGTGCTAGAAGGTCAGTCATTACCTTCATCATGTAACAGCTGCATGCATTTTCTTTCTTCTCTCTCTGTGAGAGGACTCAGTGGAGGACCATGGTATGAAAGAAAGTAATACTTGATTGTTTCTTGAGATTAATTCAGTTCACTCACATAATCTGAAAGATCCACATACACAAATGTTTCACATATTCCACAACATGGTTTTATGTCCACCGCTTCTTTTACTGTAGAATACCATATAGATAAAATATTTAATTTTGGGGGAACTTGCTGAAAACATGAACTCTATGATAATGCTAGCCTTTTGCATTGCCCTTTTTGTGTTAACAGATTACCTATTTATTAAAACAAACATTTCAGAACTTTGAGGTTTTCTTCTTCTTTTATGGCTTTTCGTGATTTTTATCCTAGTACTGAAGTATTATTTTGCCCAAGAAATAGAGCAGATAGAACTACTCTTGATTAAAACTGAAGATACAGCTTAAAGCCTTAGGTCATTTCATTTGGGAGGAAGAAGGGAGGAGAGTCACACATTTCAATGTGCAATTAACACTGTGGTTCCGTATCATTAAGGAACAGGCAGAATTTCCAAGGAGAGATGAGACCAAGCTGTCCTTACAAAAAGGCACTGACTTATGTATGACTTATGTATGAGAAATTAACCAAAAAGAAACATTATCGTTGTGGTTTGGGGGTTTGTTTATTTGTTTACTGAAGATGGTAATTTTTAGAAATAGTACAGCATATACATTTTGAAAATGTGTGAAGTACCTAGGTTCATATTTATATATATTTCCAAATACTGAAATTACATCCCTAAACTAATAGGCTGATTGTTATAATAAAAATTATGCAAATGCTATCATCACAGTATATATTTCCCATGGTTATAGACATTGTGATGCTTCTTGTGCAGTACAAAAACATGTTTGGATTTTCAGATCTAAAAATAATATATGTTAAGTGAGGCTTTTCTTAAGGAATCTGTCTTGAGTTACATAATGATTGTCAAAAATGCGTTAATTCTAGTTGTTCGGATGGGATAGGTGGCATTATCAGTGTAATCCTTAACATATTGTTAAAATGATGGAGCACTGAAAAAATCTAAAGTTATGCTTTCTGTTGATGTTACAGTTATAAACCAACAAAGCAACTTAATTTGGGCACGACGGTGAGCTGACAGGGCTTTTTAAAATCTAAAAGTTTATTCAAATTTGTGGGGGTGCGATTTTACTAGTTACTGACATTTTTCTTAGTGGATGTGTAGTGCAAATAAACCGTAGCGATGCACAGTCAAAAACACTGATGTGCATTCTTAAAGTGTAACCAAATTGTGTTTTGAATCCAGGAAACTGATAATTATCCTCTATAAGGTCCCATTTTTCTCATGTTTATGCAAGTTTCCGTCTCTGTGAGAACAAGCAGTTTCACTGAACTGCTGAGGCTCCTGAACTGAGTATAGTAACTTATTTGCAAGATTGGTGCGTGCGTAGGAACGGTGCAAGCGTAGTTTGGATGCTCTAAAGCAGGCTTATGATGTTCATGTTCTGTGTACCAGTAACACTCTGTAACAGAGCAGCCCTCTGTTCCCGTTTTTATGCTGTGTATTATAAATCACCCCTGGGGAGTCTGAGGAAAACTACAGATTTTTATTGTAGAAAACTGTGTTTGCTGTATGTGGTTATATTGTTGTAGCTATCTAACTTACAGGGCGTTCTTCCTTCGGAGGCAGTGATTCCATTTTCTTTGAATGTTTCTTTTATCTTGTATGAAGTCCAGCGGCCTGGATTTTTTCTTAAAAAATAATTGCTGTTAAGTAGAAGGCCCATGCAGAGGGTTTTACTTGCTTAATCCAACGTAAGCTTTATTTTGTCGCCAGGTCAAATGGTTTTCAGAATTGAAAGTTAAGGTTTTTCTAAAATGACAAGGAGATTTACCCAAGTGGATTCCATGGTAGGCAGTATAGAAAAACTCAGCCCAGTATTTGTTGTGCACTAATGTCTGACTTTCATGATGTCCTTTAACCAGAATCCCTCTCAGCCGCAGCTGAAGATGAAGGCTGGTGGCATTTCATGCTCCTGTACGCGGAGGCTGGAGCTAAACTAAAGAGGCGGTTCCAGACATTGTGGCCCAGAGCACAACGTTCAGTACCTGATCCTCAGCTAGTAGTGAGGAACATTAAGAACCTCAGTTTTGTCTTACTGTCAACATCACTGAGTGGGTTCTCTTACTCAAGAAATTAATTTTGTTTAACTAAGTCAGTTCTTTTTTAGTTGGGAGTGTAGGTGTCTTCCAACACTGATTTGTCCTTTTACCTCCCACGTCAGTACTATAGTAAGGTAGTTTGTTTATTTTTTAACCTTTCCAAAATCCATAGATATATCTGTCCTGGAAGCTAAACTATATTCTAACCCCATGCTTATGTCATCTCTGTCGTCGTTATTTTCACTTGATTGGTGGTCTCGCCAATGTGGTTTTGGAGAGCAACAGGATAACTTTTTTCCTACTTAGTTGCTACTCCAATGTTGCACACCTTTTGTTTACATTAGACTTTGGCATCTGATCAATGCAAAGATAACATTTAATATTTTATTATTTGCAGCAGCTTGCAAAAATCTTAGTTTCTGAGTTTTCCCACCTGGCACTTGGATTTATTTAATCAATTTTGTATGGCTTTTAACTTTGGAGTGACATGGATTTATGTGTCTAGTCTTTGTGTAATTTTCTAGTGCAAGGATTCCTTTCGTCTTGTTCCGAAGTGGTCCATTCTGTTTGTTTATTTCTGTATTTTATATCTGTGATGCACTCTGATATTGGAAGAATACTTTCTAAATCATCAGGACACTAACCACGTGGTGTTTCTGCAGGATTGTGTCAACATTACAAAGCACTCTTCATAACATTCCCATCCATAACTAAAATCATATTTCCATCCCAATAATAGTGAAGCAGTGGGACACCCAGCAAACTGACATTAGAGATCACATGCTGAGGGTAGGAGAATGAGAGATTGTTCCCAGCCTTGGGTTTCGGTCCAGTATGAAAACAAGGAGTAAAAGAGCTTGGAAGGTTGAAGTATTAGTAAACAAGATGCCTGGATTTCTAAAAGGAATGAAAATAAATGTGTGTACTTGCACAAACACACCTTTAAAATAACTTTCCTTTTTAGCAATGCTTTTGTAGCTCTTCTATTCAGTTTCTTCTTTTAATCTCCTTCATCCTTTTTCATATAACATATGAAGGCTTTTTGGTGATAATAGCTGCCAGCCTTACATTCCCAAACCCCACAGCTGCACTGCCGGTATCTTCAGCAGATTAGATCCCTCTTGAAACTGATGTACTGTTTTTTAAAACACTGAGTTTTGCTCTTTTCAAAAAGAGAATGTGGATTTTTGCTTTTGTTCTTATGTTAGTAACCTTAAGATCTCTAAATTTATTTTGAAAATAATGAATCTTATTTTCTTTGAACTATTGTAACACATTTGGCCAATTTAATCTGAATAGTTTATGAGTACTAGTATTTTCAAAGTAATGAGATGCGTTAGATCCCTAGGTCTTTTTCCCACAAACTCATTTTACGTCATCTTTCTTAAACTACTAAACAGCAGTGATAAACAGTAAATAGTGATCTGATTCTTTTTCTTGATGCACGTTATTGTCGAGAGACGAGGCTGTTTTTGCAAAGAGAGGCAGCACAAAGCCCGTGCCTTTCTAAAATCATACAGAAACTCTTTAAGTTAGATCTCGGATGTTGTGTAGACCCATGATGGCCATCAGCTTGCAAGTGGGTTTTGATTTATGTGATTTAAGACTGCAAGGATGTTGTTTGTTACTGCATCCATTATGTATGAAAATAACTAGAAAATACGCTGGGCCAAATCCAAAAGTTGCTTTTGGGGGAAGAAAAGAAAAACTGACACTTTAGGTTAACTGATGTTTTAAAGTCGACTTCAGGTTTAACTCAGTCTGCATCTAATGATCATTACTGCCTTTATAATGGCTTGACTTCCCCCCTTTTTTTTAGTGTTGAAAATGATTTATTTTTTATTCCTTTGAGCATCTCCTTCCTTTTGGTTTTGCTCTTCATGTTATATGGCCTTGGTACTTCCCAGGTGATAGGTGTCTATGATGAGCCTTCGTGCATTTCCCTTCCTATGTCACCCTAATCAACTCAAGCAGAGGTTTGACTTACTCTTTTCTGCGAGTTATTACAGCCTGGGGGTCAGCTAACACATGCTAGCTCATCCTGACCCAGCCTCAATTTCTCATTCTAAATTGGACAAAACCAGGGTACCAAATTGTTCAGTCTTAATGGAGCCAAAATCCCGACGAGGCCAACTAAGCCTTGAAAAAGTGTGGGAGGTTGCAGCACTTTGCTCTTGAGTTGCATCTGTTGTATAAAGGTGTTTCACTAATTAGGAGAAAAGAAATCCAGAGCACAGTTGTTTATTGACCCGAGCCTTGATGCGGCCTCTGCGTTCCTCATACTCGGCCGTTTCTGTCAAGCCTATGGGCTCGCTTTACTGAAACTGTGTTGTTATTTTTTTCCCTCTAGACTGGCAGATAGCTACTCTTGCTTTGCTGTTGGGTGGTGCTGCCATCATTCTCATAGCTTTCCTGGTTGGGCTGATCTCTATCTGCGTGGGATCTCGGAGGCGGTTCTACAGACCGGTTGCTGTCATGCTCTTTGCTGCAGGTAAGCAGATTACCGGCACCAGTATGAAAATTTCATGAGAGCGGCTTCACTTCTGTGAAGGAAGACGTGCCTTGTTCTGCATACTAATTCAGAGGCGTTTGGTTTACTTCTGTGTTAAGTCTGGTGGGGTTTTTCAGGGTACTGGTTCTGCACAGCATTAATTGTTTTTGCAGTTGCACTGTTATCGATTCATAAACGAGTATTTATTTGCATTCTATTTACTGTTTTGTGAAGTACCTGCAGCAGGGGCAACTACAGAGGATAAATGTTAAAGCACCATTTTTAGTCTGTGACTTTGTGCTGCTTGATGTCCCCATTTTTATTCTTCATGCAAAGCCATTTCAGTTATTTTAATGTTCTTCCTTTTACAATTTTAAAACAGGAAAATTAATGCTTAAATGTGAACCCTTGAAAATAATGTGAAAATAAATAGGGTTGTGTTGCAAGGTGTTTATATATGCCCCTGTGCCATGAGGAATTAATTTAATTGTGTCAGCTTGCTTACTTAGTTATTAATTTAACAAGCTGTCACAGTGCAGTCCCTGTTTGGTTTTAAAAACATGAAAAGAGAACAGTTTATATAGACTATCACAAAATCTTAAGGGAGACTATGAATCTGAATTGTCCGTAAGTCTGGTCCAGTGAGGTATAATTAAAATATCAAATCATCTCCTTTTGTACATTCTGGCGTTCTGGGGCTTAGTCAGCACGGATGTTCCTCTTTCTCCTGAGATTCACCAAACGTGGTTTGCCTTCATCCTGTCACTCATATCTGCGTTAGAGCCAGCAGCTTAAGCCCCGTCTGATAGCCCGTAATGGAGAGGATGACAGAACCTTGTCTTCGGGATGTGTTAAAAAACCAAGCCACTTACAAGGCTATGAAAAGATACGAGCTCAGAATTCGCAGGGCGTTCGGGAATGAAATCAGGCTGCGGGGAAGGCTCCTGCTGCCCCCTGCTGTTAACGTCACCGTGACGGAGCCGCGGCGCCGTAAGCTGCAGTTATTTGCGCAAGAGAGAGTGGGTAAGGTGTATCTCATTTGCTCTTCGGAAATGAACGCAACCTAGGATCGGATTTCCTGAGCAGAAACCTTGTCTTTTAGTTCTGTGTGTCCCATTGCTGGCTTGGTTGAATAAATAAAGGCGCTCATGGCATTATTGTAAAATTTAGTATTAATTCTGAGATTACAAAGCATGCTGGGCAGTTGACTTCAAAGGAAAAGGGATTATTGAATTTCTGTAGTAGTTTCTGATATGGCTGTTGGCTTAATTTCTCGTAAGTATAGTAACTAAGTATAGTAACTTGGTAATTGTTCATCCATACGCTGCCTATCTTGCCATATTGCTCATTTAGTATGTAGTTAAGTTTGTACTAAAAAAAGAAACAAAGAAAAAAAAAATCACCAAATCCTGCTGTTTGGCTTAAAGCTTAATCTATTCTCGTCTGCATAAAATTAGTTCTAGTCTTTACTACAGAAGTTGGGGGGAAGGGGGACTTAATGCTTACCTGCAGCAAAAAGGAAAATATATTGGTGTTCACCTCTTTCCTTTGCCTCTGTGTGTGTGTGCACGTGCATTTCAAATAGCCATGACCTGAAGCATATAGGGAGAGAGATGATGAGGCCAAGCCAGCCTGCCCCATTCTTCTTCATTATCTGGCATACCTAGGAAGAATCCTTCTGGGATTTGATGCTGACACTGTTAGTGTCATTTCCTACAGATTTTGTCTTTGATGTCGGCTATTTTTACATGTGAATACGGACTGGCATATCTTGAAAGAATTATGAAGAGAATCCCTTACTGAAGAGGGGAAGGTTAAGACTGCAGTGGAGTGGAGTTTGTCCCTTCTGCAACTGTCCATGGATTCAAACCTTCACCTATGGATGTCACAGACAGTCTTTGAGGATAAATGCTGCCCTCCCCCCACCCCGCACCTGTGAATCTGCTGACGTGACAAAATATTCTGTATGACTCTGGTTAGGAACCTTCTGCCTGCCTCTGGAGGAAGGACACCAGATGAATTGCCCAGAGAAATTTAATGATCTGTGTGGGTGTCGGGCATAAAAAATCACTGTGTGGCAGAAAGGACAAAATGGAAAAGTGGTTTCCAGGCACTTTAGAGTCCAAACAGTTGGCTTCAGGCATTTTTTTTTCTTCTAGTTTTGATTTTTTTTTTATTTCCTCAGCTTCAAGTTTCAGCTAGTGACTGTAGGTGAGGAAGAAGATTTGACTGACTAGGGCTGGAAGAGATGATAGAGCGAAGAGACAAAAAAAAATATTGACACAGATACTGAGAATAACCCAGTAAGTGATCAACAGCTGTGAATGTGTTTAAAATACATGCTGTCAGCTCTGTGTAATGTGGGGAGGAACAGGTAATGGAAAAACATGGAGCACAGAGGCAGTTGCAGGACACTCTTCTGTGGAGCCACCTTGGCTCATACAGCTCTTCCCCACATTTTTAGTCTAGTAGAGGTCACTAGCTTATGTACTTGCTGCGGTGTCTTAATGCTCATGAACCAAACTGGCCCCAAAAGCTGCATCTTCAAAGTCCAGTTTCATAAACTTGTCAGTGTAGGAGTCTCATGATATGGTTACCAGGTAACTGAGTGCTAACCGACTTAATTTAGAGGTAGAAAGAGAAAGTGTAATTGTTGAAAGTCCATAAAAGCCAATGAAAAAGGTAATTTAAAAGGTATTTGCCTTCTGGGGCTATGTTTTAACAACGCTTAGAAGAACAACCTGTTGAGGTTAGTAAACTTTTAACACAGTTCACAGTATGTTCTTATGTGTATGCTAAGTGAAAGTATATGGGTGAGGGATTAAAAAAAACGACGGCGGATAATATTTGGACAATACTTAGAGGATGTATCTTTCCGTTCTAACAGAGAGTAAGAGCGCTGTCTGGCAGCATTTCCTTCTGAGTTCTGTGCTATTACCAATTTTCATAATGATGTGGGAGAGAGAGTAAAAGTCTGCTTGTCAAATCTTACAGTGAAGCTAGAAAAAACCGCAGATACATTGGAGGACAGAATTTGATCACGACAAATTGATAGAATGGTCTGAAAATGTAGGACTGTCTTCAGTAGCATGTAGTGCAAGTTGCTACAGGACAGCAAAAAGAATCATAGCGTCAAAGAAATATTGGTAGGAAGGATACTGTGTAGGTTATCTAGTCCAAGTTCCTAGTTGAGGCAGGACAATTGCTAACACTAGGTCAATTGGCTGCAGCTTTGTCTAGACTAGTTTTGAAGAACTCCAAGGATGAAGATTCCACAACCTCACCAAGCATGTTGTCCTGGTGTGCCATACTACTTTTTTTATGATATTTTTTTCTTTCATGATGTCTATTCTGAATGGAGATTTGTGTCCATTGTCATTATCTTAGGTTGCCTGGTATTATGAAAAGTAGGGTTGTTTGGGTTTTTTTCTATCATCGTTGCAGCTATTTTCAGGTAACTGTAGGCTGCTTTGAAATTGCTCCTTAGCTGCCTCTCCATGAGTCTAAATAAACCTAGCTTCCTCATCCTCTTCTTAAGGATGATTTGTTCTGGGCTTCCGATTATCTTGGCAGCTCTCTGGACCCTTGTCCTTTGGTTGGTGAATCCATGTTCACTACTGATTACTGCTTTGTTCTGCAAAGTCCCTTAAACAGGGAGTCCAAGAGGATGTACTCCATAATGTTTCCAGGGATTGAGTTGGGGATGACCAGCCTATAATTCTGTTGATTTTTCACTTCTAGCCTTTTTAAAGGACAAAACATTAACCTTTTCCCAGTCATCTGAATATTTCCTGGTCACAGTGATACTTCATAGATGATAGAGGGCTTGCAATCACATTGGTCAACTCCTTCCTCACCCTTGGGTCAATCCCGTCTGTCCCCATAGATATGGATGCAACTCTAAGTCATCCCTAACTTGTTCCTGCACTGCTGACACCCTCCCAAACCATGTCACTCAGAGGTCTTGGAGAAGGCATCATGGTGCATCATCTGTCACTAGACTGTCTTTCCTGACCATCATTGTATGAATATGTTTTCTGAACTTTGTTTTGCGACTGCTGCACCTGTGGAAATTCTTCTTTATTACTCTTTTTACAATTTGCTAGCTTAATGTTGTACTCCAGCTAGGTTTCAGCCTTTCTGATTTTGTATCTAAGTATTGAAACAAGTGCTTTCATACTCTCCTGTCATTGTCCTTGTTTCCTGTTCTTGTGTGCCCCTTTCTTGCACACTCACTGAGAAA